TTTTTACAATTTTACGTAATAGTATACAATTTTATTAAAACAGGTTAGACGTCTTCCAATAAACATTTAGTACGGGTTTGATTGATTTTCAAATTACTTCAAGCAATTGGCGACTAAAGACAAAAATACATCATTAATGGCTAAAAACAGGATAAAAATGAGGATTCACGTTTAATAAAAACAGGATAAAAATGAGGATATATATATATTAGTTAGACCAACGCAAACCAATGAAGCTAGAACTAAACACGCTAGAACACAGACAATATATGGATAACATTTCGAGAATCTCACTAGATAATCACCTAATATCTTGCTCTCAAAATCCTGGTGGATATTAAATTTACGGGATAATCTTCTATTAGCCCGAAAACTTACTAACCTGTATAAAAATTTCAATATAATTGTTACATTGTTATTCTAAAGTACAAATACTATAATTTATTATACCATATTTTAATCGCCTGTATATTGATTATATAAATATCCATTTATACGATAAGTTGTTATCGTATATATTATCTAAACGATGCCTGTAGAAAGTTGTCATTAATTAATTGGTACGATAAATTAATACTGAGAGCTGTGTAGCGCCCAGATAAATAATTTTCAATTAAAATTCAACTAATTCTTTAAGGAAATAAAAAGATTTAATCCATTCGAAATTTAAACATCAGGACTTATTAATAAATGCACATATTTATTCAAAACTCTTTTCTCAACTACCTATTCGATTCGACTCAGTTCCATCGATAGGGAAGGCTGTACCAAAGCGGTGTCACTAATAGTTCGGTGATGATGATGATTTCTTAGTGTTATATTATCTTATTGATTATATTTTTGAATAAGATAACCTAGTGGCACCTAAGATAGCCCATTGTTTTGAATCTCATACCTTTGCAAGCCAACAACAAACAACTGCAAGCCAATTCTGATAATGTTTGACTTATAATCGCATCTCAATAGAATCGGAACGACTTGCGTTTAATCATTGTACTATCTACCTAAAGTCCAATATTATTAGTGCAATGCCTTCCTCACACATCAATGTCAATTATATAATAATTTTGGACTTCAGGTAGATACTACAATTGGAAAATACAAATAGTTGAGATTTTATTAATATGAATTACGTAAACATTAGTTGAATTACCCTGCTGTACAGACATATTACTCCTAAGGTCAACTAAGTAATAGGAATACAGGACTATAATTGTAAATGTACATATTTGGTTGTTTTATTAGCAATTAAAATTGTGATCCATATTAGGCGCCACTACCTTACTATCCATACTGTTACCTAGATGTGATCTACATCAATATTTCTGTAGAATCTAGTGTTTTAGACGATACTAATATTTTTTTTTATTTAATTAGCAATGGAATATCATTTATCAACAACAATAAAAACTCTTAAAAGTATACTGTATATTGTACCTTTGCAACAGGATATGCGTGTAAAATTACTGCAACTTTATACTAACGCAATAGACACGCAAACAGTATCTTATTATACGGCACCAAAGTTCAGGGTGGTCCAGTATCGTGAGTATCTCATAAATACTCATAAATGTACGTAGGTTTAAAAGGTCAAAGACTTTTATATATCTATAAAACAAAATGTTATATTAAAATTAACAAAAGAGAATTGAAAATTTATCTTTTATTTTACGTGTGTGTTAAAATTAACAAAGGAGAATTGAAAATTTATTTTTTCGTGTGAACACGACATAAATGTTCATTTTTAGGCAAATAAAATCGTATATACTTATTTCGGATAATCATGATATATCATAACAAACCTTGTCCCTCAAAACCTAATCATACTTATATAATTACTAAATAATATTTTCATTACAAGTTAATAAAAAAATTTACTTAACTGCACAAAACACGCACGCTTACATTGTAAAGGAAACATACTGAAATTCAGTACCAGCACAAAAGCAGTCAAGAGTCAAAGTAAATAAAAACGGTATTTGTTGTAAACCTGATGACGTCACAGATTGTGTAACCGAGAGCCGCAATTGAGTCACTCACACATAACCGTGGCCTGTGCCCCAAAACAAATGACGATAATATCTGCAGTATAAAACAGCTGTTGGCTAGCTCTCTTTGTGGTAAAACTGCTCCGTTATGATAGGGCTTTTTGATTTTTTTTCTTTTCTAAATAATGAGGAAATAAATAAAATTATAATAAACAATAACTCTGTTATAGATACTAGAAGATTTATATATTAGGTCCCAACATATGAAATTTGAAATATGAATGGAAAATTGAACTCGTACTCGTATGTGCTGCGGAAACGGCTCGAAGGGTTAATGTGTATGGCGGTTGTGTCGCAAAAGAAAACGCAATACCTTTTTTGGTTCCAACGTTTTTGTTCTGGAAATTTCGACCTCCAGAACAAGCCCCGTGGACGGCCGGAGACCCAAGTTAATAGTGAAGAATTGAAGGCTATTGTGGAAGCGGATCCATCGCAAATACTTAACTAGAGTTTAATTTCTTTTCTCTTAGATTTATTTTTATAAGTCATTTTACTATAGCGTTTATTGATAAAATAATAAACCGTAATTGTTTGTGAATGTTACTATTGATCTTTTATGTAAATATTATTAGATTGATTTATAACCGTAGCACTCTATTATGACTACGTCGTACACGAATGATTCATGTCAGATAATGGATCACTTAGGTAGGTATTAGTTAAGTGCCTAACATATCGTACATTTTTTAAATACACACCAATTTCAAGCTCTTAGCGTGTGATGCGTTTATTTTTTAAATGTTCATTAATGGCCTTGTATTATTAGGGTTAGAAAAGTAAAAAATTGAAATACGCTAAAAGTAAGTACAATCAAAGATTTTTTTCTTTTTGCTTATTGTGTCTATGCCAGTTTCAAGTATATTAAGTTTTTTATCCTTTTTCTAGGTACAATGTTTTATTTCTCATTATTTTTATAAATATGAACGATACTCTTTTGTTACAACGATATGAGGCGATTCCTAATTTAAAAATAGCAATCATACACCACATGGATTACCGCAATGTTTCAAGAGGCAAGCGCTTGACTACTGAAGAACCTATTAAGGTTATTAGGCTAATCGAAAATAAACCAGACTGTATATCTTCCGTGTTTTTTGTTTAGTAGGTAACGATTTCACACTACAAAGTAACCGATAAGAACAACGCAATACAAAATTTTATGAATCAATATCTTTTTACCTGATTACCTACTGCACTTAATAAAACCTTTTCCCTCTTATTATTAAACGATGGCCCACTTTAGTACAATTATCAATTATCTGACCAATATAAATGAACATCCTCAATTTGACATTTTCTCTTCTGTCATTGTGAATTTTCTTTAAGCGGTCAATGTTTAAACCCAGTACCTACTTAGTTTTGTCCTCGTTTATTAGACGGGTATGTTATACTAATCGCAGTGCGTTACTGTTTTCAGAGAAAAAATCGAAAGTAAAACAAAAATTATTATATTTGATCAATTTTATAATTCAAAAATCTACTGAAAAATATTCTTAATGAAAAATGGTTAAAAATTCACTTTGTGCCTGGCACTTTCAGATGGGACACGAACTCACGACCTTTAGCACTTAGGACCTAACAGGACTGAAATATTTTGTTACTTGTTACTTTCTCGCTACTACGTAGCGTATTTTCATCAACGTTCAGACATTCCACCTAAACAGTGCCAGGGAGAAAGTGGATTTATTAAGCATTTTTCATTAAGAAAAAAAATTTCTTTACTTTTGTGATTAATGTGGGAGGGATCTACATTATTCTAAAAACTACCTACATAAATTAGATTCAAATCCCATCTAGTTAAAGTTGGTTAAATTTTAGAAACTTCAACTAACTAATACAGAATAAAATTTCACCAACCAATACCGGTATTGTATGAAAAATAAACAAGAATTTGAAATACTAATGATTCACACAAATATATAATCAGCTGTCAGTTCCTTTATCTTTTATCTGACGGCAAGTTATTTGTAAAATAAAATGATATCATGAGTTGAGAATCGTGTCACGGACGAACCTTCTGCTAAGTCGGAACGATACATACCTCGTATATTTTATTCATATTGTGCAATATGAGCTCGACGAACAACTACAAATTTATTTATTGCATGAGCAGACTGACTTCGTCGCATTCAAAAAGAAAGAAACACTGAAATACACCGTAAACAATTATAAAATTCACACACTATTGACGCACTCGTGGTTTAATCGATGTCGCTTCGATTCTTCATAGTGTCGATCTGACAAACGAGAAATATTATTTCGAACAATATTATTTCTCGTTTGTCAGATTGACACTATGAAGAAACGAAGTGCACATTAGTAATGTAGTTATGTTTTTGAGTGCATAGAAGTTTCATAGAAGTCCTTGGTTTCCATTTAAACTTTTCCAATTTAAATTTTACATTTAAACATTATCTGAATTACTGCTGACATAGAAAGACCAAATTCCTTATAGTTTTCAATCTTTAACTATCTAATATTAGCTATAAATGATACAAATACATATTGAAAGTCACATTTTCAATTGCATACATTTCTTCACGTTAATTACAAAGAGTTGAGGTGTTTTAGACATAGTTTCAATAGACCTCAGAAATTTTATCCCAATATACTTTGATATGCAACATACCGCAGTCCGCAAACACTTCCAAGTATTTACGCGCTCGTTTACCAACATCCTACGCAATGTCTCGCTGAGACAGGATCTTAATTTATATGTTTTTTCGATTTATATGATTTCTCTGTCTCTCAATTTAATTTATTGCCATACAGTTTTCTCTTTTTATGTACTCATAACCACACGCATACTAAATAGGGTGAATTTAAAACCAATGCTTCGTTGAATCTTAAACTGTGAAAGTACAATCGTAGTAGGCATATATTACCCAAGCTATCTTAAGTCAATCATTAAGTCAGTCAATCATTTCAATATTAATTTTATATTTGTTTCAGGCACAGATGTGTGTCCTATGAAATCAGTGGTGCGGCGTATCGGACAGCAACTGTTTGCAGCACTTAGCGGTAAAGGACTGGCTGTACTAGTGAACCATGGGATCGCCGAGGAAAAGGTCGGTAAAGATTTCGCCTTATGAGAAAATGTTTAGGAATAAAAGATACTTGCGTTCCAAACGTGAGATAAAAATCAAAATATGACAACACCGTACCTGCTTGTTTGTACGTATTTTAAAATTTTAATAATATACTTGATTAAAAAAATATATAATAATATACTTGATGTCCTGTAAATACCTACAAGTATTATGTCTATAATAGTAAAGGATTTTGCAAAACTCACTATCTAGAGTTATTTACAAAACTATATTAAGTAAATAAAACAAAGTCATTGTTATATTTTTAAAATCAAATTGTTATCTCGTACCATTTCCTTTGACAACGGGCATCATAATTATATCGGTAAAATAATATCGGTTGTGTACCAATTTATCTTATCATCAATATAAAGCCACTTCTAAGAATTTCATCGGTCATTGTAATATATAAAAATAATATAATGTATAAAAATACGTATATTTTTCATTAATAAAATTACTATTATTTATTTATTTTTGAACGTTCCAGTTGAAAGCTGTATACATCGACTTGGACAATTTCTGCGCGCTGCCCGAAGGCTGCCAGGCCCAGTACTTAAGGAACCCAGTCAGCAACCATGGGTACCTCCGCCCTGGAATGGAGCAATTTGACTCTACTAAAAAGGTACCTATTTAGGAATGCTCCGACCCTTTAATAATATAAAATAAATCATTGTAAACGAATCATAGATTTATTTAATCCCTGAGTTATAACTTAAACCTAGAATTTAAAATTTAACTAAAGTCAAATAGCCCGAAGTCATTTCATAGCATAAGTGATTAAAGAAATTAGACGATCGTATAAACAACCGGCTGGCATTATTAATTGTACAAACATAAAGAGGTAAAGGAAATTACTACAACAAATAAATTAAACTAGTATAAATAAATATATATAACCACTTTAGAGCGATTATAAAACTACTCTGAATATCACTATTAAAATTTATAACTGTTTATTAACTGGTAATATTTTGTAAACTTTTTTGTTGAGAATGTTTGTCGTTAGTCAGGTTTCTCTTTTCTACAAAAAAGTTTTTGTATCAGGAATTACGTCACACATTCAACATCACTACGCTGACGGCGGCCGCTATGCCCGCTGAAGAGGAAGTACCACAATTCATCAATCACGCTGTGCCCCTGGCCAGAGATCTTACCAACCTATCCCGGGTGCTGCTTCAAGCACTCGCCTATGCCCTTGGTAATTTTTGTTATTAATTTCTGGCAACTTCAACCGCATAAATTAGCCTATGTCTGATGGATGATACTACGCTGATGACGTAGCTTCCTGTAGGTAAAAAAATTTTCATGATGGGACCAGTATTTCCTAAGATTAGGTACCTAACAAAAAAGGGTTAAAAACTTTATGGTAATGCAGGCAAAATAATTTTTCAAATCGGTCCTGTAGATTCAGAGTCAATTCAATGAAAACGAACAATCAAATCAAATATATTTTTTGTAAAGATGGAGAGTGCTTGATAAAGTGGCTTGATAGCAATCAAAATTTTCCTAGATTGACACAGTTTTCCGGTATAATATCGACTGCTACAGATATTATAACAGATGTGACTTTACAACATATCTGTTTTAAACTATGTTTAAAAGTTAAAATAGAATTAAATGACCATCTTTTAAAATGAGATTTCCTGGTGATCATCTTGTTAGTCAACTACTACTACATATGACATGGTCTTATAATATTAATTTTAACGTATAAAATCTAGGCTTAAATTTTCATATTAATGAAGTTTATATTAATGAAACTTTGCAATGTTGGTGGTTAATTTAAATATCTATTGTCTTATTTCAAACAGGGGTGGAACTACCATCGTATCAGCCGTATCGATGACACGGGACCCTCGGTCTACACCCCTTTAGGCCGAGGGCCCCGTGTGTAAACAAAAAAACGCAATACATACCCACAGACTAGGTGTTTAACACCCTAGAAAAAGAAAAAGATAAAAGACATATAATATAAAGGAATGAAAACGACCTAATACAGAAAACGACCTAAATTTTACCCTCCTTTTGGCCCCCCAAAAAATTTTGGTACACGCTACGCCACTGATTTCAAATTTTAACTTTTTTACATAACTGCAGGAAAATTCTGCTAATCTTACTTACGTCATAATGGCACTTCGATAAAATCTCGATGAATTGCATTTTGCCATAGTACTATCTACTTAAAATCCAATATTATTATATATCTGTCACCATTGACATTGAAATCGAAGTTGAAACGTTTATTGGTGTGTGAAGAAGACATTGCAGTAATAGTATTGGACTTTAGGTAGTACAAGCAATGGTAAAATGCAAGTAGTCGAGATTCTATTGAGATTCAATTGCAATAATTAACAATTAGCAGAATTGGCCTGCTGATATAAAACCAGATCCACAGTTCAATATAATAATTTAACACCATAAGAGAAAACAATCAATATAAACAAACCATTATCATTGACATTCATAAAAAAATGTTTAATTAAATCACCAACGACATCTGTTGGATGAAATTACAACATACTATTTTGAACTCCATAACGTTTCAACAATGTGTTTTCTTTCGGTTTATTGATACGCATCGATTTCTAGTGACGCACCGGATATTATGACGCAGCGGAAAGTACCTACTTGCACTAATAAAATAAATATTAACAATAAAGTATTGTGTCATTTCAAAGTCCACAATCTACATCAATCAGCGACATTTATATGTGATGTAATCATTACTTAATGCAATAACTGTAATAGCACAGGTTGATTGCATTTGTACTGATCAGCACATTGCTTGAATTAATAGTTCTGCAGAATTATACCAATGCATTACGATCAATCATCATTAATTTATTATTAGAACGTGGTATTTAATGCATTTTGACGTATTCTGAAAATCTGATTTAAATTAAAATATTTGGAATTAAATATTGCAAGAGCAAATAATATATTTATTTAATTTGCAAAAACTTGTATTAAAAATCTTAATTAGTCGAAGATAGACAAATATTATGACTCATGACATTATTTATAACCGTAGCAAAGCGTTGAACGGCAGTGCAAAAAGGAAAACAATAACAAAATTATTCATTTGATTAAAAAAAAATCGTATTAATTATTATTTGAATATTATGTTTTAATTAAAAGCTCTTGAATACTGTTTTTTCAGGAATATTTATTTTATATTATTTGTTCAGATTTGCCTCCAGCCATCCTGCTAGAATGTCACTCTGGCATGCTTCAAGGCGACGGCAGAAACCCCTCCTGTATGCGCATTTCGTACTACCCACCAGTACCCCCAGAGGACGAAGGCCCTAGATGTCAAAGTGACACAGTGTCCTACACACGTTGCGGCGCCCATTCAGATCGTGGCACGTTCACGTTAATTGCTCAAGATTCCGAAGGCGGACTTGAGGTGAGAAACTATTTAAATAACGCTGCGGTTCAATACAAAATAAATATGCTACGTAGTAAGTATGCTACGTATAAGCATGCTAGTTTCGAGCAGACGCTAATTTGTAGCAGACAAACGCCTCAAACGCAACAGAATGTCTTAATAACGTGCCGCCACATGGCGCGGTAACATGAAACACGCTAGTGTACAATATCTTAATAACGTTATTAAAGCATACACTATGAATTAAATACTATGTGCTAAAGTAGGTCCCATTTAAAGACAAACAATCCAATTTCCATATACCCCGAATCTCGCTTCAGCTTAAGAACGAAAGAAGTAACAAGCACAACTACACCCAGTATTTAAAGTAATTTAACATAAGGATATAATAATATAAATAAGAAAAAGACTTAAAAACTAAATGGTCAAACAAATATCGGAGCATCTGTCCTAATAATATTGAATGAAAGTCAAATAAAATGCAAGGCCCAATGTATAAAATTAGGTTTAAATGGATTCTTGACTTGATTTGAAATCTTATTTTTTTGTGGGTAGAGTAAAAAATCAACCTGACGTATAGCCGTGTGTTAAATTTATTTCTTCAAAAGTTTTCATAGTGATCTTAAGGCAAGACTTCAATACCATTTCATAGTAGTTTGTCATTAGAATTAAGAGTTCTGTAAGATTAATTCTCTTTTAAGACTCTTTTAATGCTCATAATACTTTGACTATTTCAGGTCAAGTTACACGACAGTGAAAAATGGGAAACCGTGGGTCACTTACCAGGAGCAATCCTAGTGCAGACTGGAGAACTTCTCGCAGCATGGACAACAAACCTTCTTCCTGCCTTGGTAATAGAAGGACAGATATTCCCCGATGTAGTTATATATAACTGAAAAAAACTGAAACCATAAATGTTACATTTATTCCTTTAAAGCTCTCCATTAATTATCATAATTAAATAGGGACTTAAGTTCTGATTTTTTTAGATTTATCTGAGAATACGGATCTAATATTTCCTTTCATGTTCAAGTTTTAATATTGAAAATTCAGCATCGCCTAAAAAACTTGCCTGTTATTATTTGTGTTTAATTCCATAAAGATTCGTATACCGTTCTTGTTAACATTATATCTTCCAATCAAAGTATTTGTACAACAAAATACATATGTGGGTATTTTCAAAAATTCCAGATGCATCGTGTCGTGGTACCGCCCGGCACATACGCGCGCGCTCGCGGTCGTCACTGCGTTGCGTTCATATGCCACCCCGACAACGACGCCAAGTTGCCGACGGTACCGCCGCGTGCCGCCCCCGCCCCCGCGCCCCCCACTTTCACCCCGCACGCCCACCTCACGCTCCACCACCGTCTGCTGAACGCGGCTCACCACTTGCAGAAAAGGTTCAGAGAGACATACGCGTGACTAGCGCGCGGCGGCGACGGTAAACTATCGCCGCAGAAGACCCCACTGGCGCGACGGCACACAGCGCCGTGATCGCGGCACAATAGTTGAACTACTAGTCGATCGAGTTAACATGACACCTAGCTAGATAGAAGTTTCTGCAAAGTACTGCGTGCAAAAAAGTTGCTAGCAATAGCGTGCTTGTGCGGGTGTCTGTTGCGTTTTAAGCGCGTCTATTAATTAATATGATTAGGGAATTGTGACAATTAATGTTTAGAAAATAATTTAAATAGTTCTATTTAGACGGAAAGAAAGCGAAATTAAATAATCATGAGTTAATTTTTACGCTCAATCGTTACTTTCATTTTTCCTCTATTTCAGATATATGACTTTCATTGTCATCTTTACTTTATAAAAATATAATAACAATAGCAACAAAAGAATTTTCATTAATTAATATTGTCACTATATAATTCTGTCGAAAGTTTAATAGCGCAGACGCGTACAAAACGCTAACTGTTATACTGTCGCTACTGAAAGGCGACGGCGAAGTGACACGCTGGGAAACGCGGGGGTTTAGAGGTCCGAGCCAGGTGTCATGTTAACTAGACCGAGTAGTATGCGCAGTGGTACATTTTCGGGCCTTAATCGTGAAATCGTGATGCAGGGGTGATACGCGCGAACCATGGAAAGCCGCCATTTTCGTTCTGTTTAAGACGATATTAGACGTTTCGCCGAAAATCATACACTGCCTATGAATGACGTATAGTGAACGACTTTTTTTATGCGATGAAAGATGATACTTCGTATTTATACACTTTATTTCCAAGGCTTCGTTGATAAAATAAGGAAAATGAAACGTCTAATTTCGGCTTTACGTGCCGTGCATTATACGTGTTTGTAGTGTCCGACCGAATTCCGGCTTCGGCTTCCTTCGTCTAAAAACACCACATCCAATCAAAACAAATCCGGCGGAAGGTTTCTTTGGCGAATATCAAAATTGAAAGAACTGCCACAAAGTACGAAAGTAAATAAATACCTAATATCAAACATCGCTGCAATTTATGACACGTTTTGTCACGTTACAGGGTTATTTTTATTATCTCGTTAACTATCTACATAACCAAAAATATATATTGTTATGTACTGAATTTATATAAAGATCGCTCTCAGTGTCAGCCATAAATCAACCTTCGGTCGGATACTACATTTATGTTGATGTCATCTCTGATAACAATTTGGGGACTAAAGTTTCGTTATTTTATATACCACCTAATTACATAAATATCGTTTTCAATCTGGCCAGTTCTTAAAAATGACTAGTAAAGCAGTTCCAATATTTTGAACAATAGAATAATTCAGTGTAAGCGTGGGAATGCCCAATTACGTCGTTTTTTATGATTTGACATTCATACAACACCTGTAGCGTTGGATGGTAATTGAAAAAGTTAAATAAAAACTTTTTGTTGAAAAAATATTCTATCTCTTTGTAAATCAATCAGGAAATAACAAGCACATACTATTTGTAATCATCTTCACGAAATTTAAGAAATAGAAATAAAATGCATTATTTTTTTGTTGTCAATATCACTACATATTCACTTAGAAGAAACGACTAGAAATTCAACGACGATGTTTTTTGCTCCTTGTTTTTTTTTTATACAGGGTCATCGAACTAAAATATGACTTCCAATACAGTATGTTATTAGTTAAAGTTAGGATAAAAGATGCGCATAAACAATTTTTATATAAAATTCTATTAGGTAATTATAATTATCCTTTAGTGACCTATGACTTAACTGTGTCATAGTCTTTGCTGTATACAGGGAGCAATAATATGACTTAAAGGAAATAAACATTTAAGTAGTCCAGAGCTGGCCGATCTCTCCAAATAGCACTTATTCTCGAGCGTAACGAATGAACCAACCAAATAAATAAATACATTATTTTAAAAATCTGTTTGTTTACGAAAATAGTAAAATGAATTCCTAACGCCACACAATTAAGCTGTTTGACAATTATTGGTCATTTATAAGACTCGTTATAATTAAATTACCATTCCTAGATATTGTGTTTTGTTTTAACTTTTTATTAAAAAAATAATTAGGATAATTAAAATACACATTATCTATATAGCGCTTTTATGATATATTCGCGTATTGCCTTTATATAAATTAATAAATGCATATATATAAAAAATAACAATGATTTAAAACAAGACTGTTTTAATGTGGATATTGATTGTAATACGAGATGACAGACCTTGTAGTACTTAGTTAAAATTTTATTGTGTAAGATAGCAATTAGCGGCGTGAAAACAAATATTTATATTCCTTGTAGCTTACTTTTTCTCTGTATTGTATACCTCGTGTTCTTGCTTTTGCATTTTATATAGACGCTGATTACTAGAATGTATCGTCACATAACTGAATTAAGAACAACCTTTTAAGTATTACTTCAATAATTAAGATATACTGGTTCTTGGGCACACGAAAAACTATCAATTTTGTATGTTAACGTTTTGTTGTACCGAAAAAAAGTAAATGTAGAAACGATACAGAGCTCTATGGAATCGTTTCCTTTAAATGCTCACATAGTAATTTGTCCGTTTTTACAACTACTCCAAGAAAAAACATAGTTAAAAAAAAAATTAGGTTACTGAAATTATCGAAGTATTCACCTAAAAATGTTAATTATTACTTAAAATAGATATGAGTTATAGGTAAAAAAATATTGAACCATTCAAAAGCACTTTTAATAAGTTTATTTTAATGTAATATTGACTTTGATGTTTGTGACGAACTTTTCTAAATCGGCTCATAAGTTACGGCGGGAATACATCAACATGCGGTCCGCGGGGTGTTGCCAGTAACTACATTCCGTTCAACGTTATTAAGTCAATTTCTCACTTTTTTAGTACTTATATGTCTTTTTACAATGTCCCATAATATGGTAATAATATGGTCAAGGAAAATAATATATTTCTTGCATTATGGCGATGCCACGAAACGGAGCGTGTATCATGTCGATGTCTTCCAGATTCCGGCCTTTAGGTTTCCTAATTTTATAACTTTATAATAATCACATTAATTCTATTTATTATTATGTCTATTTTCACGACTACTTACTATTTTTATTAAGTAAATCGTGTGATAGTTTCGATAGCTCAATTTAGTATGGTACTTAAGTATACGATATTGTGTTCGAACATCGAAAATATGGTATTAATTTGATGAATAAGTAATTGTTAAATTGACATTTAACATACATACGTAATTGTACTTACCTACTTAAATTTGTCCAATTAATTACATAATTCAAGTTAATGATTAGTCCAATGTATTAGCTTTTTTTACAATTTGAAATTTAGGATTTGAAACTGGAGGATTAATAAGGGGTTATGTACAAGGGATTGTTTTGTCGATTGTATTTACTGGTTGTAGAACACTTTGTTTGCTTAAATGTGTATTGTGTTATAAAATCAATTTTAAGTATTATATTTACTTATTTTAAGGCAAAGCCAATAAAGGGATAGGCCTTATATTGACTTTGTTTTCTATATTGTCTACTTAAATGAATCATAATACTTAGTATTTATTCTTCTTATCCTTTAATATCACTGAAAAATTATATATATTTATATGACACTTCGTCTCTCCAAACAATACCAATTCCGTGAACGAAAACTCATAATAGACAATAAAAATTTTGTAAATATTCGCACTCCTAACGATTTTTTTGCCGGGTTCAGCAACCATTAATATTGGCTGACCTCACTGATTTCAGTCATGCATGAGTCAGTAACATCTTTACGGTTCAACATACAGCAGCAAGTCAACACTAACTTGCCACGATTACCGTAGTCAGTCTCTAACTGACTGATGCTATACGAAATTGGGTTATATATACGATTTTATTAGTTATTTTTTACGTTTTAAATACTTACAAGTATTTAAATGAAGTGCAAAGATAGCAATGTACTAACAATGTTGTATGTACTTAAGAAACAATATTGTTTCCAAACTAGTTCAATTGCAAGTTAAGATTGTTTATACAATTTCATTAAATAAACCCTTACAAGTACGAAAGTATTAACTACCTGTAAAGTTCCTTTTCCCTTATATTGATTATTTATTACCTCATAAGTCCATAATTATTATGTTGTATTGTTATGAATAGATTCTTAAAAAAATACTTTGTAAACCTTTTTATAATTCTAAACTATATCGTGATTGTGAGCAATGTGAAATAAAATGTGCTGATAAAAAATAATTTTGTTTTATTTCGTATCACTTTGATTATAAATTATAATAATAGGATGTTTTTTCAACTTCGTAATAAATCGTTTGGTTTAGGAGTCTTCTATTTGGCCGTAGAATGTTATGTAATTCTAAGTTTTTAAACACGTAGAATCTATACTCATAATCTATACTATAATAAAAACGTAACCGAGCGATGTCTGCATTGAAGATATATGAAAAAAACTGTTATAGCATATATGAAAAAAACTGCTGATAAGCATTTATAAACGTAACAGAACACAAAACAACGATTTTTTAAAGTTTTTGTCTGTTTGTCTGTGCGTTTGTGCACGCTAATCTCAAAAACGGCTGAACCGATTTTAATGCAGTTTTCACTATTGTATTGTTTATTATTTAGTGTAAGTTTTATTTCAATCGGTTCATAAATAAAATAGTTGTATCAATTTGAAATACTGTGTTCACCAAAATTGTTATGAAATTAATTGCTTTATTAAATTTTAGTAATATAATATATTGTACAGCTCTTTTACACCCCCATGCAGTGGGGCTTAGGCTTTTATTTAATAATTTTTTGATCACCCATCCCATAAACAACACATGCGAAAATTGATTAACAACAACAATCGCGGGTATAATATATAGCAGCGCTTATCCGTTGCGCTACCGAGCTACGTATAGTAATTGTCTATATTACTATATAATATTCATATAGTAATTATGCAATGTAAATTGATTTCAATTATATATGAACAATCATTATTTTATTTTTGGCATGAATAAAGAATTATTATTATTACGAGTATTAAATAGCGTGAAACCTATTAAATATGATCGATCATATAAGGGTATTATAAGCTGAAGCTTATAATAGACATGTAATAAACTATCACGCGAGTATGAGATCAAGCGAAAGGAACATTGTGCTGCTGGAATTAAGCATCGAATAGTTTACAGTGAACGCATGTATAAGATTTTCGATAGTAAATTCTTATCAGGTTAGGTTAGTAGAAATGCATTCCGCATACCCGCTTTACCCTGCGCGAGCTCCACGGGTTATGTGGGACTCTCCCCTGCGGACCAACCCCAGAATAGGACTGGTCAAAGAGCAGAGGCCTACTCACTAAAACTCAGCGATGTCCCTCACTGCGGGGGATCAGCGCGCGGTAACGGTCCCCAACGGGACCACTTCCCGCGCATGCCGTCCCCGCTCGACCCACCCCTTAACAGGGCGGGTCCCGTCTCGGGTTAGGGAAGGGCTCAGGAACATTCGAGTCCAACCCCAGACAGGACAAGGAGCGTGCAATGCCTGGCGAGCGCGCTAACCCGCCAGACTTCCCCTATCAAAGGCAGGAGATGCGCGATTGAGCATCTCCCACCCTTGTGCATTGTAGGGCCTCACCTGTCTGTGAGAGGCTCTCGATGGACCCGAGCCTCTCCATCTGCGATGGGACCAATAGTCCAATACTTGAGTGTCCTGGTGACCCGTCTGCGGTGTTCATGGATAAGAGTCCTACTCATCCCCTGTCGCTTGCCGGGTAACAAGAACAAAGCCAGAAGCATTTCCTCGAAGTTAAAAAAAGCTCAGTCCACGTCTCAGCAGATACTTTCGCCAAAAAGTTACATAAATTGTAAGAATGCCTTGAAAAAAGGTCAAACCTGCAAAACTGCTAAAAGGATCAGATTATTAAGATGATCCTGCAACGAGACGTAGAATTTTTTTAGCCTGGTTACGCTCTACAGAAACTTTGTCTCAGCATGAACCTAAACTGGTTCGAAAACGGTGTTCGAATGAGTAAAGACAACTCAAGTTATATCGATTTCTTTCCACTTAATAGTCTTATGTTACACTTTTTGTATTTTTTTACATTCAAATCGCTTTGCTTTATATTTGGTATTTGCTGTCTTCACTAGAGATACAGGTTTATTCACTGGTCATGAGGCTCATGCAATATTACATGAGTCTAAGGTTCGGTGCAAAATTGATGGAGCTCAGTCAAGCACCTTACAGAAATATAAGTTAGTACACGATTTCCGTCAAGTGTGCAAGGTCGAATTTAATATCATTTATATTATTATTTCTTTAACGTTTTGCGACAAATAAGACGCTGATGTCTGACTAAAGTTAGTGGGGGCATGTCTGTCGACCCTAAGACTTTTATTGACAAACAAAGTCGCTTGAGCTCTCAGAGAGGTCGGACAGAAAGCGCTCGGTCACAGGACATACTTGACGGGTATGAAGCATATTTAAATGCCTATCACGACGCTCATGCACTATCAAGTTGAATCTGGAGTATTCATTGTTATAGAAAATATCTTGAGTTCTCAGAGAACTCATACAACAAGCGTTTGATCTCAGAAAACTCCTGAAGATAACTTAGCAAGTCTAACTGTCGATCGTAACACATATGCAGTATCGTTTGAGTCTGAAACTTCCTTTAATATGCGGTCGAGCTCTTAAAAAGCTCGAAGTTTGCAGTATAGAGAGCGAGAAAGTAATTTCGATTATCGCCAATCGGTGTTGCCTTCAACCTACCTGTACCCCACAAACGTACCTATATAATTAGCTGTTAACTAGCATGTAACGTGTCTCACCCGAGTATGACGTTGCTTCCCGTAGGGCAAGAATTTTTTAAATCGGTTTAGTGGTTTCGGAACAAATTCGATGCAAATAACAATGAAAATTTTCTCTTTTAAAGATTAGAAATTAGCGCATTTCGTTTACGATGCGATTAAATGAGTAAAGTATTTATTGCACTAAAAGAAAATGATACGAACATACATATATATTTTTCATACATAACATTCATAACTATGTACTTAAGACAAATTTAGTGCTAGCCAGCGATTTCTTTCAGGCAACCTAGCATGAGATGGAAAAGCTATAATGAAATCCAAAATTAAGCCATTAGTTCGCAAGTTTCGAATTTAAAACACTAGGAGCTCGTACACCAGAACTGCGTCTCATAAATCAAGGCTTTTATTTTTTCTTTCTTACTGTTGGTGGAATGCACTCTACGTGAATGGGTGTCTTGGTTTTGAAATGCGAACATATATCATGACTATTTTCATTCCGTGGTGCTTCCGCGGTCGTGGCGCGAGCCGCGTCCGTGCCACACAGTAACAATTTTTGAACTTTGAAGAGTAGCAATTATTAAATTATCATAATCCTAAGATTACAAGATACTTCAACTTTCCAAACTTTGCTCAAAAATCTCCCCAGGTTTTGCACTATTTACACTAGATAAAGTTACAAATGTGGGTAAATAGTAAATTTGCAGCATAACTATTTAATTATTATATGTATTTTTTAAATCTCACGGCAAATAGATTGTACAGACAAAATCGCAAATAGCGATTACATT